AATGGTCTCCAAATATTTCAGATTTTTATTTATGAAAAATGTTGAAACCCAGATAACTTTTACCTTTCACCTCACACTCATACTCTAGTTTGTGTTGCTCTATGGCAGAAATCCTGGTGTGTGTGTGTGTGTGTTGCATTTTTCTGTGAGGACGTACTTTTACTTAAACACTCTAAAGGGGCTTTCCTTGTTTTTTTAAAACAAGAAAAAATCTCTTTAAATTCCCAAACAGAAGCTAGAAACTAATTTAAGAAGATATCTCCCTGATGTCCTGTCAGCTCACAGCAGTGGCGTTGGGTGCTTGTGCATGTCTTGGTTTTTGCTGGTAGCTCCTCTGCACCACTGCACCTGCTCTATACGGCTGCAAGCGAGAGGAAGATGCATGTGAAAAAAGCCAGACAGGAAGAAGCCTCGTACCTTAGTGACAGCGACAAAAGTTTCAGCTCGAGCTGATTGACGTAAGTTTGGTTGAAGGCAGAGCACAAGTGAAAAATAATGACAGAAGCAGGCTACTCTCTACCGAACGCACGGTCCGTTTTTAGGGTAAGTTGATATTAAAATAAAGACTTTTGTTACACGTGTTTAAAGAAATAAATAAAGGGGAAGCTCACTGCTACGTGATTGGTGCTGCAATTCGATTGGTTTTAAAATCACTCTTTTAAAAGTATGAAAATCTACACAGATCTGAATCAGTGTTTTGTGCTCTTTGAGAATTTACTAGAGGGAATAAACAGGAGCCGTGTTTGTTTGTTTGTGTGCGAGCGTTTGTGTTGAAACGAGGCAGCTTGCGCTTATTTTTCTCATGTCCTGGCACACTGTCAGTGAGCCAGGAAGGGCCCCCTCCCCTGTTTTAATAAGGTCTATTGTGAGCATGTGCTGAGCTTTAAGTTGGAACTATTTAGGGAACGGAAAGTGACTAAAGGAAAGAATAATAATGAGAAAACAGAGGAACAGAGTAGTGCGCCACAATAAAACACATGTCATGGCTGCCTTCTGGGTTATTGTTGCATTCAATGCTTTAAAAAAGGCTTCCTAGGAACAAATATTGAGTTCTATGTAAAATTTCTTATAAAGGTATTCATACCTCTTAGCTTTTCCCTATTTTGTCATGAATAGTTTCTTGTATTATAAGAGGTTTTATGTGATAGACCAAAACAAAGTAACACATAAATATAAAAAGGAAGGAAAATTGAAAATTCGTTTTCAAAGGTTTTTTAAATAAAAATTTGTCATACGTAAGTATTCAATCCACTCTACTTTTGTACCCCCAAAGTCAATTTATCTTTAGTCCAGCTTAAAAAACGTTGCATGCATAATAAAACCTGCAAACTGGATGGCATGAGCAAAACTGATCTATAAAGTAGGTGCAAATTGAATGTGTGTCTTGCAATGATCAGAACAGTGGGTGCAAACTTTTTAGTGCGTGCGAGCATGCAGAACATGGGCTGATCACCAAAAGCACACTAGTTTATCAGAGGAGGAGCAAATGTGAAATGTCATTTATCAAACCTGAAACAGTCAGCTTTTTTCCAAGTGTCATGATTGATACCTATTCTTATAACCTTACTTGTATTCATTTCATTTTACTTTTGTTTGAATTTGATTCATTTCAAGAAACAAATATTTATTTAGAGTACAATTTTTTCAGTCAATAGTTGGAGCAATTATGCTCAAAAGAATGAGGAAGGTGCTTCTATTAAGTTAATATTCTGGGAAAATGAATAAAAAAACACTATAGTTTTTTTGTTACATTTGTTTGCGATTAGTTAGTACATTTTGTTTGTTAATCTAATGCATCCCAAACTGATTAAAGTCTGTGATTAAATGACGAAAAAGAGTTTAAAAGGTGTGAAAACTATTGAAAAGCCAACCTTACACTGCAAAAACTTTTAAAACAACTGTATTTACCCTCAATTTGAGTAGACCATCTGCCAGTTACATGAGTGTTTTTGCCCTTAATCCAAGATTTTTTTTTTTTTTTAAACCCAAATATCTTATCCTACTGTCAAATATCATGCTCAATACATCATGGCCACGGGAAGTGGGGGTGCTGGGGGGGCTGCTGCACCCCCTAGTTTCCAGAGGGAGAAAAAATACTTTGCACAATTTAAAAATTTCTTATGAATATTGTGGGGAATTATTTTTGATTTTACTTTTATGTGTATTTGGATTTTAATTGCATTATTTTGAGACCTAATAAACACAAGTTTACGGAAGTAAGGTTGTCATGGCAACGTCAAGCAAGCAAGCGCATGATATCCGCTCGCGGCAGCAGACTAGTAAATTTACATTGTCTAATGACAGAAACGAGAAGGACATACGGCACAGAAATACATTTATCTCCACGACCTCAGAGCGCACCTGAACATGTGGACACCTGTAAACAGGGCATCCTGCCTGTAGCTCAAAGTAACACCGAAATCTCCCAATCCTCCATAACGGCTCCATTCCAGACCGCCTGCACAAAGCAAAGCCTACAGCCTCTGCTGTTTCTTCCGTCTTGCTCCACTCCGTCTTCCTTGGAGCTTGAGGAGAGCATGCGTGATATTATTGTTAAATTCATAGGAGCAGAACATGAAAAAATGAACGCTTAATTTAATATAACATATAGAAAAAATTCCCGATCGGCATCCAGCATATGTGAAGTTTCTGCCCAAATATTTTCCTTTTGTTGTGGATTTTTGAAACAGGGATAACTAGGATCATATAAAATTGGTTTGTATGAACTACATTTGTTCTCTTTGTCCGAACTCAGCATCCCTTAAAGAAAAAGTCCGGTCAAATTCAGAATTCAAACTTGAAAAATACTATACTGTAGTGTAATACAATACAATGAAAGTATTACATACTTTTCAATAAATGACAAGTGTTTTTAAGAGTAATTTCATTTGAATGGGCTTTAACCAGAGACATCCATGTTTGTCAAAGAACACTACTGCCACCTACCGGTTTGTGACATTATTGTGCGGTATCGGCTGTTGAGCAAGTCCCAATGCTGTGCTGGTGTTTGTCACAACGCGCTATTATCCATGATGGCGATGACCAGTGCACTATGCAAAGCAGAGAGTAACAGATAAATGACGTATTTTCTCTCTGGCCAGAGGTTTGATGGCAAGTCCTCCCTCCTCAAGTTGGCAATTCAATGATGAACCTGTAGTGGACCAGGAATTGGAAAGATGAAATAACTCACTTTAATAATGTTTTTTTTTACTTTTTTACTTTTATATTGCAACATCCAGCTGCCATGCATGTGGGCATTGTCTGTTTAACTATAGCTCTTTTGAATTTAGCTATAGTTATTTACCTCTAGTTATATAGCTTTAGTTATATAGCTTTAGTTATTTAGCTTTAGTTATATAGCTATAGTTATTTAGCTATAGTTATTTAGCTATAGTTATATAGCTTTAGTTATATAGCTATAGTTATTTGGCTATAGTTATTTAGCTATAGTTATTTAGCTATAGTTATATAGCTTTAGTTATATAGCTATAGTTATATAGCTTTAGTTATTTAGCTATAGTTATTTAGCTATAGTTATTTAGCTATAGTTATATAGCTTTAGTTATTTAGCTTTAGTTATATAGCTATAGTTATTTAGCTATAGTTATTTAGCTATAGTTATATAGCTTTAGTTATATAGCTATAGTTATTTAGCTATAGTTATTTAGCTATAGTTATATAGCTTTAGTTATATAGCTATAGTTATTTAGCTATAGTTATTTAGCTATAGTTATATAGCTATTGTTATATAGCTATAGTTATATAGCTATAGTTATATAGCTATAGTTATTTAGCTATAGTTATTTAGCTATAGTTATATAGCTATAGTTATTTAACTATAGTTATTTGAGATTTGGAGAGAATTTATGAAGTTTTCTCGAAATCTAAAATAATTGTTGTCAATTGCAGATGTGTTGAGTAGTTCCCATTGATTTTGCTTGTAAAGCGGGGAGAATGGAGCTCGGCTTACCGCACTGCAACGTCACGGTCGGAAGATGTCAGGAGTGAGGTGTTACTGTATTTGGGCAGAAACGGAAGGGTCCCGGACTCAGTGATTGCGATAAAAAAAATTATTATTCCTTTTTTTTTTTTTACTGATTAACGCTAAATTCATTGAATCACCACGAGTGTACTAGTTTTAGGTGTAATTATTGACCCACTGGTTATTCCTTGCTGACCAGACTTTTCCCTTAATCCATACCTGTGATAACAAGTTTCTTTAGAAGTTGTCAGATGCGCACTTGGAAGTTTTGAATCGATTTGAATAAACTTTTAAGCCTCTCAGTATAAAATAAATATTTTGATTGAGATGAGAAATCTACTTTCTGGTATGTTGAAGTACCCATAGTTTGCATCCAGTGATTTAAATATACTTTTATATCTATTTGTGCAGTTTGAACATAGTATGTTAGAGTGTTATTTTGATCTTGTGTTTTCTGTGTAATGGAGAACTGTTCGATAATGTTTAAATAGTATAATAATATAATTATTTCCTTGTGGTTTGCGTAAAAGGATCTTGGAGCTTATAGAGTCACGTGTGACATAAACAAAGTGACTCAGGTTCAGGCCAGCTGACCAAATCTATGTTGTTATAGTGTTATTGTGAAGTTTAATTAATAGCGCATATATTCACTTTGAGAACTGATGAGTAATGAGAGTATTAAAGTTTTGAGAACTGATGATGTCTGTGTGTTACAGATACTGGTTGCGTGCGTTGAAGTGTATATGACAATAAAGTAGTGAATTTCAATCTATTTACTTATTCATTTTATTGGATTTTAAATAGGCCTATAGGCTCAGAGGTCTTTGTCCCAAAAATAACAAAAAAAAAATTCACATTGTTCAAAAGTACTTCCAGCGGCTGTGCAATACATGGAAAAATGCTCTTATTTGAAGAAAAATTACTTTATAAATGTGGCACTCTAGTAATACAACAATTTAATGATAAATATGGGTACAAGGTTTAAAAAGATATTTCTTTCTTGTGTTCATTACCATAGGTGGTCTACAGATGACGGCTGCAGGCACTGGCCAGCGCACAGCAATGGATGCCATGTTTGACACTTTGATACAGAGAGCGCCTCTTTAACCCAGAGGGCAAAGAGACCGGCTCCAGTGATGATCCCTGTATGTTTAACTCAACCTAAATACACATCTGCACACGTGGATGGACCCCTCCAGCAACCAACAGTGTGGATTCCCTTCCTTCTTCATCATTCCCTCTCAAGAACTCAGTGACAAAGTGTGGCGTCCCTCAGAGACACCTGTGAGAGCCCAGAAGTCAAGAAGCTTCCTCCAACTTAAGTGGTGTGAATGAGAAAATAATAGTTGCTTTCACTTAGCTGGATTTTCCATTTTCATACTCAGCATCCCAGTTTCACACCAGCACCTCTGACACCAGAAAAAAAAATTAACTGTCTGCAGCGGAAAGCTCCGGGGAGAAGATTGTTAGATTAGGTTTACATTTCTCAGGCACCATGCAGTCAGACGACCTTTTTATTCGCAAGTTCCGCCGTCAGAACATGCGCCCCCCCCTCGCCACCGTCAATTTTGACCCCAAGCGGGAAGCGGGAGTGGTGGAGTGGCCCCCCAGGAGGCCCGGGGACGGCGCCGATGCAGACTGCAGCCTCACTCCGAGCCGCGTGGGGTTAAATCTGCGATCGGTGGGGCGGGGCCCGATCATGCAAAGAAGCAACAGTGATGTTACCCTGGGGGACTTGGACTCCTCTGGGAAAACAGGAGGGAAAGTAATCCGTGCAGTTGGTGAGAAAGTGGGTACGGGGCCTCAGGGAGACTCAGGGATGCATCTGCATAGGGAGTACGGCAGCCTGTCGTCACTGGAGAGACAAACTCAAGCCCAGGAGCCGGGTGGAGAGAACCAGGGGCCCCTGAGTCCGAGTGCTCTCCGATTTAAAGACCCTTTTCTGCTTTTAGGATTGGAGGGAAACCCTCCAGAGCCTGATGGGTTCTTCAGAGACCTTCCCAGGCCTATTGGAGACTCCCCAAAACCTGCCAAGCCGCCAAAGCCCGAAGGTCTTAATAAAAAGTCGAAACCTTTGCCTCCTCAAATCTCTCAACCTGGTCCGTACGAGCAGCTCGGAGGTGGAGCGTGGGTGAGGAACTTTGCCCACTACGACGTTCAGAGCATCCTGTTCGACCTCACAGAGGTGGCCACAAACAGAGACAGCATCGGACGGAAGAAGAACATCACCTCAGGGGCTTCGGCCGCCTCCCAGCTCCGCCCCCTCGCCCAGTCCACACCCGCCTCACCAGCACAGGGAGGGGGAGGCAGCGGAGGAAACACGGATGACCAGGAGCAGTCGCTGCTGCTAGACGAAGGTGATGGCAACGATAATGAGCTGCTCCTAAGCTGTCCACACTTCCGTAATGAGACGGGAGGCGAGGAGCAGGTGGGCTTGGGCCGATCGCCTGGCAGGAGGGAGCTCTGGTCAAGTCTGCGGACCCCTAATGATGCAGTGTCTGTCTTGGAGGAGCCCAGGGAGAGCAATATCCAGCTGCAGGGGAAGAGCAACTTCTTCATTGAGCATGCAGATCTGGGAGCGCATTACTATCGCAAATACTTCTACCTGAAAGGTATGTGAGACCCTGCAGAGTTTATGGGGGAGAGATTTAAGTGTGATTTAAGTGTGACTAGTCTGTACCAGTGTATGTTTTATATTAAGGACGTCTGTGGGTTAGAAGAAAAACGTTTTCAGGTCTGAGAAAAAAGGTGTCAAGTCTTAATAATCTTATCAGGTCGTAGGTCACAGGAAAACAGCAGTATTCTTTTTGAATTCAATATTAACAAACTGAGCAGATATTTGAATTTAAGCTACATTCTTGACAAAAACTTAAATCTTAAAGGTTTGTTTCGGTCACAGAAAGCATTTCCTTTTTTGACTTCATTTTTATTTCACAAAGGGAAATACAAAATTATACAAACTAAGAGTAGACCTCAAATCTTACAGGTTTTCTATGGTGCAACACTCACTACCTCCTAAGACAAAACAAAAACAAACATGCAATCAAACACAAAAATAAGAATAAAATAGAAAACAAGTAACTGTATATCTATGCACTAAGTGCAACAGGCAGCAACTTCAACATAATATAGCATATTATAAAATAAAGAGATCCACATGCAATATACACACTCAGACTCTCCAAGCCATGAAGTAAAGGCATCCAGAGATCAAACGATAAGCACAGTTATATTTATCCCAGGTTAGCTTATCCAGAGGTAAAAATTAGGCCAATTGCTCCAAGAAAATCCTTAATAGTTGGAGTTGAATCATTCTTCCACAATAAATGAATGCATTTTTTTTTCTTTTTTAATAAGTCATTAAAATCAGTTACCTATATTTTGTAGTTCAACTGTGTTCTATGTGTGTCATTAAACCGCTGCTTGTTTTGAGGGTTTTGTGTATCCAAAACTGGTTGTGTAAAACAAAAATCGATCTCCAATAGCTTTTTAAAAGATTGTAATTCTAAAACATATGAACTGAAGAGGATTAGGGCCACTGAAAAAATAAAAAAAGTGAACTAATTATATTATTATTATTTCAGTTTAATATGGGAAAAAGTCAGAATTCTGATTTTAATCTCAGAATTCTAAAGTTTTCTCAGAATTCTGACTTTATTCTCAGAATTCTGACTTTATTCTCAGAATTCTGAGTTTAATCTTGAATTTTGGATCTTAATGAAGATGGGCACCATGAAGGAAGAAATGTGGGTCACTCGGTCACTTCTAAGTACAAGTAGAGCATGTCATTATGGACTCTTAAAAAAGTGATAGTATGAAAAATCTTAAAATAAAAAACAAAAGTCATCTTCATTTCTTTTTGCATAACGATCTCAATCATTTAGCTGAATCAACCCAGACTAACCTCAAGAAAGACAAATCAACCTTCTTTCATGGTCATCTATATCTATACGTCTATATCCAGGATTCAGGAGAACCTTTAGAGATTGTGTAAAGCGGAATACCCTAAGATATTCATAACCTTCTGCTCCAACCATTTGAAACATTAAAGGGAAAAACAAGTTATATACCATTGATAATAGAAAGTTGTCCAGACTAAGGAACCATAACAGCAAAAGTACCAATAATTATGCAAAAATAGTTATTTCTTACTAAAAGAAATCTTCCACAAAGGATTACATTTACTCTTTATAAAGGTTTAAGATTTTAGAACATTGTGGTGGAACATTATGATACTCCTTTTTTTCCCCAAGTAAGATGCAAGAGTGAAACATGGTTTAAAATAAGTAACAGGAGTAAGTCTTTTAGATTTAAAGGTCTCCATCCCATTACCGTAAAGTATATGGGCACAACACTACTGTTAGTTATTATAATTATTCTCAGTTTAAAGGGGCATAGTCACATTACATGGTTATACAACAGAAAAAAGTCCCAAAAAAATTTGATAATGATAGAATAAGGTTATATATAGTAAACGTCCGTCCTGGTAGATTTTAGACCCTTTTTGAGCCTAAGTGGAATTCCAGCACGGGGCGCAATGAGCAGACATAAACAGACATGCGCCCTCTGCTGGCAGCACCACAAAACTATCAGGAACTCAGATGCCTGCAGTGGATGCAGCTACATAATCCTATGATTTCTTACAGCTCTGTGTGGTCAAAGAGTGACTGATGTTAATTAAATAAACTGATCAACATGAACTCTACATTCTAGTTAATCTTCCTCAGAGCTTCTTATCAGAACATTTAGGGGAAAAAAGTCCTGTTTCTAACAAACACAAACAGTGACACAGCCTGAAGGTAAGAAATATTTTAATAAAAATAAAATAACGTCATGGACCGAAACTTTTTCATTGGAATGATCACAAATAAAAAGCATAAACAGGTTATTTCCTCGGCATTATTGAGCTTCTTCTGGATTCTAGTGGCTGTGACTGAAAATTGTTCCCTTCTTCTCTCTGTTTATTTCCATCAATCTACTTATAATGTTGTTTGTACTTAGACTGTAGGGACTAAGAAAAGCATTGCTATTACCAGTATCAGTATTAATAAGGACGTTTTCTCACATATCCATTAACTTTGAAGCACTTTTCGATTCTAATCCCTCTCAGAATCAAATGTTTCTTGAGTTTTTTCACATTGGATCTTGGACTTTGTTTATTATTTTTACACATTGTAACCATGCAACCATAGTGTGCTATTATTGAATAAATTTAAAACGTGTCATATAATGTGACTGTGCACCGATTCAGCCCTTGTTCATTTAGGTTAGGGTTCTACCAATCAGCAAGCACCATTCTTTTAAACTGACTAACCTGGTTATATTTGATGGGTGAACAAATCTAGTACCATCTTCTTTGTTTTAATGTAAACCTTTTGGTTTTAATCATATTGCTGAAGGTATGAATAGAATGGAATGGAATGATATGGAATAGTAGAGTGGAGTAGAATAGAAATAGAAGAATTAAATGGAATGGAATAGAATAGAAAAGAATGGAATAGGATAGGATAGAGAAAAACTTAAAGAAAAACTTTAATTATTCCAGAGGGCCAATTAAACAGGCTAAAAGCAGAAATAAATACATTAAAAAAGAGGGAAAACATCCCAATAGTTTAAAAACCTGAAATGAGAGGACAACAGATCTGGCAACAACATTGTGATGACTATGATGATGCACATAGAACTGCTTTAATAGTGTGCATTATAAATTTAGAGTGATTTTGGTATTAACTTTTGAGATAAATGGTGCATGTTTTCTTTGCCATCCTTTCATTGTTGATGGATAATCTTTTCCTCCTCGGTGCATTATGGATAAAGCACTTTGATGTCACGGATGTTGATTCATTGTGCACTCACTCTCCCTCAGGCCCTGCTTAAATTAGCCTCTGTGTTTAAATATTTAGCTTTTATTCAATAAGATATGGGGGATAGTTCCTTCTGTTGGTTTGTGAAAGTTTTCAATGTGGATGTCTGGAATAAAAAGAAAAGTATTTTTTTTAAGTCCATCATGAATTTTTTATGCCTTTAGTCTTAGTAATTTTATTTGTTTTGTGTTTACATGCTGCAGCTTTTCTACCTGTGTGATTTAGCATTTAACTGGTTTTGGATTAATCTGTTCTGTTACTGCATCATCAAGATTTTTGAGGGTTTTTTTTTCTTTGAAGAGGGATGTTTCAATTTCCCTTAATGCACCAGTATTTATGTAACTGGATTTTCCTAACAGAACACCAGAACTTCTTTGGGATTGACGATCGCCTCGGCCCAGTGGCTATCAGCTTCCGTCGAGATGAGAAAGAGGGATCCAGTGGGGCTCAGTACAATTACAGAATCATCTTCCGCACCACAGAGGTAAACCTTGACATTTATTGCCATCCCGTCACAAACTTTCTTCAGATCAAAGGTTTGTGAAGCTAATTAGCTGGATTTACCACTCAGATGAAGACACTGAGAGGCTCTATCCTGGAAGAGTCTGTTCCCTCTGCAGCTCGTCACGCAACCCCAAGGGGCCTGTCCCCCAAGAGGCTGCTGGAGTTCATCATGCCTGAGCTCAACCTGCACTGCCTCCGCTTGGCTTCCAACTCCCCAAAGGTCCGGGACACGCTGCTCAAGCTGGACGAACAGGGGGTGAGTAACGCCACAGCTGGGATACCAGACGCTGCTACAAGGGACTCTGACAGGGTAGCCTGAGGTGCAGTGATTAAACCAGCATTACACTGCAAAAAATGAAACATACAGAAGTCCGTTTTTTCCTGAAATAAGTGTATTCAACAGTGTCTGACACCGTTGTTTGAACAGTCAACTATCTTTTTATCAATCTGAGTAATGCACTGGTACCAGTTGCAGGGAAACATTGGCTTAGTTTGAAACTAACAACAGCATCATTGGTAAAGTGTTTTATAGACTTAAAAGCCTCACCCAAACATTTTTTGGTCTCTATAGCCAAACCAAACACCCCACCGACCTTCAAAAGAGGTTTATTGCCCAGTAGATGTGGAAAGCTATAAATTTAAAGTGGTGTGGACTGGAGAGGGCGGTTATTTTTACTCTAGGTCGGTGGTTAAGAAAACATGACTTCCTGTTGACAGGCACTCAGCTGATCCAGAAATTTCTAGATCTTCAAAGTTTATCAGTCAGGACCTTCAGATAAATAGAGAGAAGGAGTAAGGACTAGGGTTTAGTGTTGCAGCTTTTAACAGGTGGCTGAGGGGTGCTGACTAAGGAATTAACATTAGACCTGAGATGCTGACGACACACATTTAACCAGCTAAACCCAGAGGGTTTTAGAAGTAGTTTCTGCCTAAAATAAGCAGATATATGGTCTTTGTGCAAATTTTGGATGCCTGTGTAAAGCTAAAACGTTAAACCATTTTGTTTTCTAGTTTAAGAAATATGTCAGAATTTTAGTGGTAGGCAGAGTGTCAAAAAATTGCCATCCAAAATTACTCAAGAAAAAAAACAGTATGGGATAAAACAGGCTAATTAAACTCTGAGTAAATATTTTACTATTTACCATCATGTAAGTCACACAGACCATAATATAAAGTTATTTCCAAATTCATTTTGTTTTATAGACTTATCACTTACTTACATAAAGCATATAGAATGTGGTCATTTCTGACAGTAGATAAAGTATTTATGATAGAACAGGTTAAACTATTACAATAACAGTATGTCCTTTTTACTGTATATAACCGTAACCTCCAATTTATAGCAGTCAAGAGATTATGGAAACTTTAAATGAACTAAATTTGTATCTGAAAGAAAAAAATCCCATTTAAACAAGTCTTAGAATCTTAGATAAATGAAAATAGCCTGATTGATTTTCTAAGCAAGAGCAGATCCTGGCCTTTTAACAGAAGGCCAACTGGGAATTAAAAAGATAGAAGTAGACACAAAAAAACAAGCAGATATGCAAAAGGTAACTGTTAACTAGTTCCACAGGTGGATCCATCTAGGAAAGACACAACAAGGAGGAGCTCCAAGCCAATTCTCATGTCAAAGCATGAAAGAGAGCACAACAGATGAAGCTACTGTGACAGGAAAAGGCAGAAAGAACATAAAGTTATAAGTGGAGCTTAACTGCTGCATGGAAAAACAGAATTACAATGAACCAAAATGAGGAAAAGTTGTCCCTATGTCCTCCAGCAGCCCAAGCATATAGCAGCACAAATACAGAAATATAAAACTGAAAAAAGTTTTCTAGTAATTACAACAACGAATTTAACCAACCTCTCTAGATAATTCTATGCTTCACTTCGGAAAAAAAGCAAATCTTGCAGGTAAATACAGATCTTAACCGGCTTTCGAATGACTTAAGCAAACTACTAGAATCTATTCATAATGTACAGATTTTTCTTATTTCCTGCAGGAAACTCTGGTGCTTGATTAAATCGTACTATATGAGCAGCAGGTGATGATGTCATTTAAGTGTATATCATGGAGATACGTTGTCGTACTTAATTACTCTTTGTTTAGTAAATGTCCACAGTGCAAAAACTGAGTAAATGTATTTGCTTTTAATTTGAGCAGGTAAATTAGATGAATTGCCAGTGGAATTACTATTTTTGTCCTTAAAGCAAGATGATAGGATATTATGCCTCTGAAATAAGATAATGGAGATGCTGGTGAAGGTTCTCAGTCATCCAGATCAGAGTCATTCATTCATTTTTTTTTTTTACTTTTTTGGAAGAATAATGGAGATGTTTGTTTTTTTCTCTTCTTTCAAATGTAGATCATCTCATTTTATTAGCAAATTGCCTGACTTACTTGCTCAATATTAGGGAAAATACACACATAATTTAAAAAAAGATTAATTTAAATATATATTTAAATATATGTAAATTCAAATAAATGGAATATTACTCTTTTTAGCAATGATTTAAAAACCTTTATAAATCTAAATTATTTGCAATATTTGCCACAAAAATAAAGTTTACGAAAATTTATATTGAATAAGTTGTTCAGATCTTAGGATTCTTTTTTAAAAGCTAAAGCTGTCAAAAATATTTATGATTTTGATTAAGTAAGAATCTTAAAAAAGACGTATGTATGTATTTTTCTAAACATTATTCACTAAAGTTGTTAAGAAATGTTAATTTCTCTCTTTCTGTGCAGCTGAACTTTCAGAGGAAGGTCGGAGTGATGTACTGCCGCGCCGGACAGAGCTCCGAGGAGGACATGTACAACAATGAGAGCTCTGGGCCGGCATTCGAGGAGTTTCTGGATCTACTTGGGGAGCGTGTGCGGCTGAAGGGCTGGGAGAAATACCGAGCTCAGCTGGACAACAAGAGTGAGCAACATTCACACCCGATCTATTAGCTGCATCTCACTTTGTCGCAGTGCCGGTATCCGAGGGACATCAGTGTCCCACTGAAAGCCTGAGATAACTCCTATCTCGCCATGTGTAATCTGACTAATGACTGAGTCACTGCTGTTTATCTCTGAGCTTTATTCCCTTCAGATTTCAGCCGGCGGTGACAGTTTGTGGTTTCATCTAGGAGATGATGACTGACTCCTCTCTCCTGTCTTTTCCGTGTTTTTTCGATGCAGCTGACTCCACTGGAACACATTCCCTCTACACACGCTACCAGGACTATGAGATCATGTTTCACGTTTCCACCATGCTTCCCTATACAGCCAACAACACACAGCAGGTGAGACAGACCTCACTAATATTAGACATAAATATTATCCATGAATTACCGGTAATGTATTAAATGCAATGAAGAACTAACAAGATTCATCCAACAAAAAGTGACATTATTTCAGTGTGTATTTCAGTTACTCTGGAGGATTGTGGTTTACTCTGAAAGAGGTCTATAAATTTAGTTTCTTAGAAAATTATTCAGATTATTCAAGTATTTAAATTACAAAAATGTCATGTTATCATCAGCACCAATCATCAGCAACACCAGCGGTTCCCAACCTTTTTTGCGCCACGGACCGGTTATATGTCAGACAATATTTTCTTGGACCGGCCTTTAAAGTGTGGGGGTTAAATACGATCAAATAAAATGATACGACTGGCATAAAATCGGATACAAACTGCATGAAAATAGAACTCACCATTATGATGAATTAGTGGGAGCCCTGAGCTTGTTTCTTATCGAAGACAATGACACACAAAGTGTGCTCCTGATGTCCAGTCTGCTCAGTAGCTTTGTTTTGGTCGCTGTAACTGCAGAAAATCCCACTTCATAAAGATAGGATGTTATAGATAGGATGAGTCTTGACCTGAATTAACCTGTGTCAAGAGGCACAGATGCACCGACTGATGTTATTGGGAGAGAATACCCCAATTTTTTATTTTTATTATTATATAATATTATAGAAATAAGCTTTTTAATCATCTTGTGAATATGGAGATGCACTATTACATTGGTCCTGCTCTTTTTTGTGTTGGAGTATCCCTTTTTTTTTGTCAAACCAACACTTTAGAAAAAGCTTCTGTGCTCTGAAACATCATAAAATAATTAGTGCCACCTTCACGGTTTTCAATATTGCCTCACAGGCAGCATCCTTCCTGTTCAGATATATATGCAATCTGTGGGGTTTTTTCTCTCATTTACAACATCAAAAGGCAGTTTTAATTGTTTAACAGTCAAACCCATTAGATCTTTTCTTTATATGATAGACAATGTTTAAAACATATTGCTTCTTCTTGTCTTATGACTAATGTTTGCTTTCTGAAATCAAAATACAACAGAAATATCAAATTACTTTTTTTAGATGAAACAATAAGCTGCGATCTCGATCATTGTCACCTGATTATTTTACAAAAACACAGAGAAAATTTAGGAAACATACAGAGTTGGTAGATAGTTTGTTTCACTTTAAGGTGGGATCAGGTTTCTATAGTTCAGAAAAAGGGAGAGTTTGTTTTTTTCTCCTAATGTTAAAAAAGGGGAGTCAGTTGCACCGCTTGCTCAATTTTTCAGTCATCTATGGCCCGAATGATAGTTTTTGATTTTATGATGCTTTGCTATGTACAAGTTTTGGTTATTATTTTAACATAACGAAGCACACCAAGGAAGTGATTGATTTGAATTTTTTTAAATTGGTCAAATTTTTTGTGGTAACAGAAATTTCTTTTTTATTTTTTATTCATTTAAAACCTATAATCACCACAAAAGGAATACAAAAAAAACTTTCTTGATTTTCCCTTTCATATTTTCACCTTCCTCACCTCGGTATTTGCTGCCAAAAATGATTCATCAGTCTGTTATATCACAGCTCCTATAAAAGCTGAGGCTTTTCTGATATCATGCGGATAAAATGACGCATCATTTTTTAAAATAGTTTTCTTTGCCCTAACCTTTATTTAGTCGATACGCTGTTTTTTATCTCTGCTTGTCAATCTTTTAACTATGTACTTAAATATCCAACTTTTGTTACTCTGCAGATTATTTTATGTTTTAAAAAAACAGGAAAGTCACATATTTTAATGATTCAGTGAAAATCCAATTATCAAAACATGCACAGACTATTGCTAAATAAATCCTCAGTATTATATTATATTATATTAATATATTATATTAAAACAGTTCTAATCAACTTTATGGTCAAAATATGAAGGTAGAACATAGCTAGCGCTAGCTTGATGTTGCTCCTATTTCAATTTAATTCAGTTTATTTACTGTATATAGCACCAATTCACAACACATGTCATCTCAAGGCATTTTACAGAGACAATTCAACCAGATCATACAGTCAGATTGGTTTTCCATCTAAAGAAACCAGCAGATTGCATGAACCAATGTGCAACTAGGGGTGGCCATAAACTGATGAGTCCCAAAATAAGTGTGGGCTCAGGATGCACTAATCACACTGTATTAACAAGAAATGAGCAAAACATCCATATTTACCAAATAAATCAATGAACCTACACACATATTTATACATGGATGTTTTCCAAATTGGTTATGTTTCAGCATAATGTACACGTTGAATGCTTTAGAACAGGGATTCCCAAACTTTACCTTGCCAAGGCCCCCCTACACCAGTACATTTTCAGCTGAGGCCCCCCCTCATATGAAACATGCGTAAAAACTCATGTGTAAGCTACAGCGACAGAATTAAAAAATGAGTGAACAAACCACCTAAATAAAAGCACATTTAATTTGTAAAGATGAAGTCACAATTCTATTTTATTAAACCAATTCATTAATTTAATTAATAAAATGTAACAATAACATAGGCCCACCATTTTAATTTTAATAACCTTTTTTAAACGACGAACCTCTTTATACCTTGCAAAAACAGAAAGATTTGTGGACAAAATAAAGGTTTGTCCCAAATTAAACATGCAGGCATTTTATATAATGCAAGCCTAACAACAAATGTAGGCTACATGAGATACATAGACATACCATGCTAATGGGAGCAGTGGGCCTGATGGCTTCTACAGTTTGTCCAGTCAGGGTTTAATGTCTGTCAGAGCAATACGCATGTTATTCCTCGCATTCAAACGTGATCTGTGTTTAATGTTCAGTAATTTTAAAGTGGAAAAGCCAGACTCACACAAGTAAGGGTGGGAAACTCTAGTCTTACATACAGCCAGAAAATATTATTTGTAAGCTTTAGATGAATGGTTTTCATAATGCAGTTATACACAGACAGGAATATTTTAATTATTTTTATTCAATAAAATAATTTCATGTATAACTTTTTTTTTTTTTCTCCATCTTCCCGTGGCCCCCCTGGCGGCCCCCACTTTGAAAACCAGGGGTTTAGAATATCATTTTATTGTCATTTTATTGTTAATGCTAACAACTGAAAAATCAAGTTAGCTAGAACTTTCTACGTGAGAGTATCACTACTTCCTCCCTTTAGAGGTGAACTGCTTGTTCTGGAAAGTATGTTCCAACAGGAACAATAAATAACCTGGTTGGGCTGGCTTTAGGGGTGGGCCATGGCCACCCCTGGCCCCCCTTCTAGCTCTGACCATGCTACTAAGGAGGTGAACGGCTAATGCTTGCTTAAACTCTTAACTGGCCACACCAAAATCCCCAATCATGCTCAAAAAAAGCCTAAATTAAATCATCTGCTGTTCTTTGGCCCTTTGCAGCGCCTGGCCTACTAATAAAACTATTGTAATGGCGGTGGATATCCACAGGCTGTTGCTGAATTGAAATAATGTAAATCAGGGTTGTCAAAGTAGAAAAACCTTTTAAACCTACAGGAAATGACTGTAGACAGTCATGTTATAAGGAGTTAGTCCCGTGTTCTGCTTTTTTAGCTTGCCAACAACCAGCATCTTATATTTAGCATAACTAATGTGCTGCAATAATTGTTTGGCTAAAAAAATGTATCCAGTTTATCTTGCGTACTGGACAGAGTTAAAAGGAGTTTTGTTTATGGTTTGGTCTGGTATGTTTACCTTCATTTAGCTTTTTTTGCTCTGTACTTTTGTGCCTTTCTATGTTGGTTCAGATTCTGTTTTATTGCCATTCTGGTTAACTATTTCTATAGTTCTTTATCTGACACCTGTCCCCGTTAATGTTGACCTTATATGTTTTTACTTTGGTGTTTCACAGAATAAGAACCAGAAAGTGCTTCACATTAAAATAACTGATACAACACAGTATGAAAATATAGCAAAAACTAAAATTAAAGCACAGCATAAATGTAAACATAAAACTGGTTAAAAAAAAAACAACCATCAGATCAACGGTCTTCAAATGCTTCTTTAGGGATTAAACAGAATCAAGATGGAGCAAACCATTAACAGGCTTTGGCTGGACGATCTCACAATACTACAAGTGGAAAACATTGGCAATATAAGCTGTAGTTTGGCCACTCTGGGCTCTAAAAGTGAACTGAAATCTGTAATTATTGGTAACCAATGTAGAGAGATTTAAACTGCTGTAATATGCTATTTTTCTTGTATTTCGTTGCAGCACTCTGCACCAGCTGGAGATGGCCAAAATCTTGTAAAAAAAAATGTAAAAAGGCTGTTAGAATAGTCAAGGCAAGAGTAAATAACGGTTTGAAACTTATTTGTGAGCCGAAAGATGCAGTTTCTTTTTATATTACTCTGTGAGAATAAGACTCTACTGACATAACAGAATCAAAACCATGCCAAGGTTTCCGAAGCTTGGTTTGATAGAGGAGGCCAAGGTGCCTAGAAAATGTTTAATTTTTTTTTTTTTTTCTGGTTCTCAGAGCAATAATTAGTGTTTCCATCATATCAGAGATCACCTGCAAGTAGCTGTAACAGAACCACTGTTTAACACCAATAGCATAGTTTATCAAGGAGGATACATTTAAATATTCAGTTGCTTTGAAAAAAAGAGTAGAGCTGAACTGATTACATTTAAAAATCTATAAGCTAAAGCTGAAGTCAGGCACAGAGCACTGCTAACCTCAATCTAGCAACAGATGCAGATAGATTATGGAAATTATCCTTTGCTGCAGGAAGAAACTAGCCAGAGAGGGCGAGGCCTCGATGGTACGCCCCTAATAATCATGTGTTGTTCTGAGTGTATCAACTGAAAGGGATCCCAGCAGGGTTTGGTGTTTAACCAACCTATTAAATTCATTTCAGTTAATTTCTATAGCGCCAATTCACAACACTTCATCTCAAGGCACTTTACAATTCACCCAGATCATACAGTCAGATTGATTCCAAGTTTTCAATGTAAGGAAAACCAGTTGATTGCATTGACTCGAAGCATGCTTATAGCGACAGTGGAGAGGAAAAACTCCCCTTTAACAGGAAGAAACCTCCAGCAGAACCATGCTCAGAGTGAGCGGCCATCTGCTGAGGCTGACTTGGGTTTAAGGTGACAGAAGCAGAGATATAAAAGGCAACTATCAACTAGCTCCACAGGCAGCCCTGTCCAGGAAACACACAGCCAGGCAGACAAGCTCCCATGTCAGAGGATGAAGAGACCACATCCAGTTAGTCACAGTCAGAGAAACAGGACTACACTGGAAAAACAGGCTGATCTAAAGCAACTTCAAAGAAAGGTGTTGAGGGCAGCAGCACAGCGGACTTTGTATATCATATATATCGGCCTATTTAAACTACAGTAACTGGTAATGGAAACATATTTCAACTGAGTCATACATTGTTTATTAGACGTTTAATGACTAAGAACTGTTCTCAGGTAACAGGAAATAAACTTTGGGGAGAAATTGATATTGCTATATAGGTTTAGTTTGAAAGATGTAATAAACGTTAATGTGTAAAGCAGGATTGTTTGAGGTGTTAAAATGAGTTTGTATAACTCTTGTCTTTGTGTCCTGGTTTTGTCTGATCAGCTGCTCAGGAAGCGACACATAGGAAACGACATCGTGACGATCGTGTTCCAGGAGCCGGGCGCCCTCCCCTTCACCCCGAAGTCCATCCGCTCACATTTCCAGCACGTCTTCATCATCGTTCAGGTTCACGAGCCCGGCACTGATCACACTTACTACAGGTGACTCTGATTTTTGTCATTTCTTTTACCCATAATGCTTTTAGTAAAAATATATGGAGGATTTCTTTACAGACTAATATCAAATGGGATCAAACTGTCTATTACAAAGAACACTGATAATAACATAAGGGAATTAAGTAGTTTTTTTACTTTTTACACTTCAATCTGGATACTATTATAGTTACACTTTAACATTTTTATTGATTGAGATGAAGATTTCGATCCAAATAACCTTTTTGTGTTTTATTTTAATCTGCTATATTTTCAAGAAAAAAGAGATGAGATTTATTATTAACATTTTTATTTTGATTAAAGATAGAAGTATACCTACATTAAGAGTAACATTATTAAAAAAAATGTTTCTCAGCATTTTATCATCTTCTACACTAAAATCAATTAGTTTATTCAGTGTAAAGCCTGTCAGAGAAGAAATATGTTGACTTTTTTGCTGATTATGTAAACAGCTGGTTAAAATGATCAGTAATACCTAAAACCAGTGAGGAAAAGAGAGTTTTCCAGTTTCTTGGTCGCCATGCTGGGAGCCAGAGTTGGATTGGCTGTTACTACAAGTGTAAGAGCCACATCACTGAAGGTGTGAGGAGAAAACAGTCTCCCACTCTGCTGCGCTGAAAACAGGACATAGATTGTTTGCGCTGAACCTTTCACACTCTTACTCATCCGTTTCTCTTTTCCTCTCTCCTTTTAGAGTGGCCGTGACACGCTCCAAAGACATCCCGTTATTTGGCCCTCTGTTTCCCAAAGGCGCGCGGTTTCCCCGCGTGCCTGCCTTCAGAGACTTCCTCCTGGCGAAGGTAGTAAACGCTGAGAACGCTGCAGAGAAATCAGAGAAGTTTCGCTCCATGGCCACCCGCACTCGGCAGGAATACCTGAAGGATCTGGCAGAAAACTATGTGACCACAACCCCTATTGACTCCTCAACCAAGTTCCCCCTCCTCTCCCTTGGGAGCAAACGTAAAGACAAGATGAAAGGCGCCAAAGGAGCTGAGCTGCACAGCGCTGGAGCTCTGGTGTGGGCGGTGATGGTCAACAGCAGCGATGACCCGGAGGCCGGGGAGCAGCAGAAGCTCCCCTGCTTGCTCGGTGTGTCTGCAGAGTCAGTGGTGCTGATTGAAAGGTGCAGTCGCAGGGTGGTGTTTAACTGCTCCTGTCGAGACGTCATCGGATGGAAGGCGATGACAGAAACAAAGGACGGGGGACCCTGTTTAGATGTCTTCTATGAGCGTGGGGACTCTGTATCAATTAGTATGTTGGAGAGTCAAACGGAGGACATGAAAGAAGTGGTACAAAGGCTGGAGGTAGGTGCTTTGGGTTTTTAAACAGTTCTTAAACAGTGCATGTAAAAGTATTTCTTGCTATTTATTCATAAAAGTTTACCCATTTATCTTGGGACAACCAGAACCTTACTTTTTATTTGCTACAATTCACTGTGATAGCTTGATCATTCAAAAGTTAATAATTTCACAATTGATCAAAGAAACTGAAGTTTAATTTAAAAATAAAAGAAATAAAGTAGCATAAAACTGGGGGGTTAAGTGTCTTGCTCAGGGACTCATAGTATGGAGGACCGATCCTGCCATAATTAAAAACATGTACAGAAATAAATGAAGGACTTAATATAAAATTGCTTGAAAAGTAGCAAATAATATGAATTTGTGTGCCATTAAATGTGACAAAATAATAAAAAGAAGACATTTCTTCAACAATTGATCAATTATTCATCAAAAAAAAAAAATGTTTTAACTTGCACTTTTATTTTTACTTTTCTTCTTGCTTTTATGCTGACTTATTTTTAATCCACTTCTTTTCTGTTATACATTTTTATGGAAGTCTTTTTTTTGTGTGTTTGTGTATTTATTGCAAGTGGGGTTTTTTTGTTCCGTATTTCCAAAGCAACCTTTTTTATTTTTTCATATTTATTCACACCAACATTTTTAAAAGATGTTTTTATTTTTGTATTATAATGATATACATCACAACATTTTTAAAATCATGTTTTTACTTCACCATAAATATTCCTTTTCATTTTGTTTTAACATCCTTGTATTTCTGAAACAATGATTTATTTCTGCCTCTAAATTTTCTGTTTTTTTTTACCCAAAGGATTTTTACCTGCCCTTTTATTTCCTTCTCCCCTTTTTCCACTCTGTGTATTTCTACTTCTTATTTTTAACGCAACATTTTTAAAGCATGTATTTACTCCACCATAAAAATTAATTATTATCTTATTTTAACCTTCTATTTCTTACAGTCATTTATTTCTGCCTCTAACTTTTCTGTTTCTTTTTGCCTGCCCTTTCATTTCCTTCTCCTCTTTTTTTTCACTTCGTCTATTTCTCCTTCGTATTTTAAAGTAACATTTTTAAAGAAATATTTACTCCTTACTTATTATTTTGTCACATTTAATGGCACACAAATTCATATTATTAGCTACTTTTTCAAGCAATTTTATATTATTAAGTCCTTCATTTATTTCTGTACGTATTTTTAATTATGGCAGGATGGGTCCTCCACACCATAGTGGCAGTCCACAGGAATGTGGCTAGAACTCAGAACCTCTGGGGGCCCAGCGCAATGCCCTAACCCCTAGGCCGCCACTGCCCCCCTGTGTGTTTGCATTATTTGTTTACAGCAACTTTTGTGTTTACAGCAGGCTTTCATTTACTACTCTCTATTTTATGTGATTGTAGCATTTCTATATCGCAGCATTTTTTCATTGCAGTGTTTTGCATTAGTCTCATTGTTGTGTTTGGAAGCTAATTGTTGTCTTTGCACTACTTATTGTATTTGCACAGTATTTTTTAAAAATCTTTTGCAAATGAAAACATGAAAAATTAGCAGTGCATATGGATTTAGTTCCCCCTAATTTATACTTTAATAAACTGTGTTTGGGATCATGTGACCAAAGCACCCTCTTTCACATGTGTACAGTGTCCTTTTCCAAAAATGTAATTAGCAGCAGTTATGACCCCCACTGAAACAACATAACCCCCCTATAATATAAAATTATCTTTAAATTATCAGATATTTTTCATCTATGCTGTTTTTTTTGTTGTTGTTGTCTTTATCCTCATTTTCCAGTGAATCGGAGGCATCTTTTTTATTTTGCAATGTCCTCCCAAAAACTTACCACTCTACGTGTCAACCGAGTGCTAGTGAGAGTAGTTATACTTTGAAAACATTTTTTTTGTTGTTGTTGTTTTAAGGACCCAGAATCACATATAAAAAGATATTTAAAACTAAAAGCCTGTTAAGAAAGCTGCAAAAAGCCCAAAAATGACATTAGAGTCCTCGTTTTATCTAAAAGCAACAAGATTTGTTCCCTTTTTTTCCTCCATATTATCACTGACAACTTCACCCAACCAGAGTTAAATAACAAAACAGAAGCTAAAGCAGTGGATATTTGCAAAACATGGCACTGTTGGGTTAAAATGAACACTTTGTGATGTTAATTTTAGACACACCAGTAACAGAGACATTAACCTTACTATGGAAAGACCAAAAGTTGGGCTATTGTCCCCTACACTGTTTGAGGAAAAATGCAAACAACCTTCAATGCTTTCATCTCAACGATGGCTTCTTTTCTCCACTCTTCCTTCAAAAACTGGTTAAAGACATGAGTCATGGTTTCCTGCTACTCCTCCATAGTTACCTTGTAGGAATATCTTCACCATACTGTGATTTCATATCGCTCTGTTTTATTTTTTCCAGCTGGTCACGCGGGGCTGCGAGGCACTGGAGGTCACTCCCCTGCGGGACGGAGTGGGGCAGCCCGGCTTCTTGATGAACGAGGAGGGCTTTGTGACGGATCTGCAGAGGTTCTGCTATGCCGAGAGCGGAGGCCTGCAGCTCTGGGCTCGAGTGGTTAGGCTGTGCGGGCATTCCCTGCTTCACTTGAGCCCCGAGGAGAGAAGCAGGCTCCTTCGCACAGCACACAAGATCCACATCACCGTCATCCCACCTGATGAGAACGGCAAACCTCGCAGGTGGGGAAGGAGTCTTTTAACCCGTCAGAGACGGACTGAGACTCAAGAAAGAGTCATACTGCAGGGGTCATGACAGAAAATGAGTTGGAAGAGTTGCTGGGAAACAGTCAGCCATGGGTCACAGCTCTCTGCTGTTAATCACAGCCCATAGATGGTTGGCTAATAAGGAATAAATCCTTTTTAATAACATTTAAAAACACAGTCTAGCCTACTGTAACCAGGACATATCTGCTTAAATAAAAGCAAAGAGAGGGCAGAAACAGCTGTTAACAGAGTCATTAGGCTTTAAGGCATTATTAACATCTCTGCTGCTTTCAGCTTTAAATAATATGACAATGCTGGCAGGATATAAGTCCCTTGATTTATTTCTCTTCTACCTTGTGTTGCTCTTTCTGAGGCATAAAACACAAATTATCACCATTATGTGGCAGCGTGGAAGAATCTCTCTGATTTTGCCTTCCTTGATCAAGTTATAAGTTCTAATGCAATAAAGCTTGGTAGTTTTTTTTTTTTTTCTCACTAAGTTGGATATTGGTTTGCAGGAGTTTCTCGGAGCTTTACCAGAAAGCCATCAAGGATGCAGAGTGCAAGTCTGGCGAGGACCAGTCTGGACTGGCCTGGGTGGTGGAAGAGCGGGAAGAAGAAAAACCAGAACAGGAGCAGAAGACGGAGGACCAGGCGAAGGTGGACAAGGTCGACATGGAAGAGGTCACCGAGGAGGAGTTAAAGGTGGACCAGCTGTGTGACATGCAGCCCAACCAGCAGAGTCACAGCCTGCTCCTCGAGCCGCCTACCTTACCCTTGTTGAGGGCTACATCTCTCCAGGATCAACCAGCCAATCACAGCGAAGAGGTCAGCGTCTCCCAGCTCACCCGCAGTGTTTCTCTGGAGAAACAGCTGTCCTACACAGACACCTGTGATGGGTAAGTTACCTTAAGGCTTCTTAAAACATCTGCAAGTTTGTTGAACAGTATGAAAATCTGCGCCTTTAATTTATATCACTGTTTTCCCAATTAACCAACATTTACTGATTTACGCATCAAATATAATCATCATATATTAGTCTAACCTTTAGACATTGTCAGTGGAGGATCCAGACTAATTTTACCAGGGGGCCCAGGGTGGGGCCTGTGATTCCTCATGGGGGCAAAGAACCAAAGACAGTCACAGTCTCTTTTGTCAACGTATATCATCATAAGAAACTGATTTCATGTTACACTGCAAAAACTGATCTAAAAGGGGAACATTTTCTTAAATCTGTATATTTGCCCTTAACTTGAGCAGGTAAATAAGATGATCTGCCAAAGGAAGAAGGATGCTGGTCATTAAAACAAGCCAGTGCTTCAGTTAACCGGCCGTAATCCTGCTCTGCATCACATGACCAATCCCACACCACGATCCATTCTTCTCCCCCCTCATTAAAATAAAATAAATGTCTGTTGTTGATATCAGCTCAGTTTTATCTAATAGCTAGATGAAAATATGTTAAAACAACAAGTTAAGTTTTGACTCAAGTGCAAGTTAAATTTGACATTTATAAACTGATTAATTTGTTGGTCCAAGGTGGTCTGCTATCAGCTTCCAAAATAGACGTAGATTAATTCATTTTGCAACAGTGTAGTGTTACCAGTTGCTTTCAGGGGAGCTAAACCTTATAAAGTGACTCTGTGTTACTGTAAGACTGACGTGTCCTGTATCTTTAATTTTATTAATTTTCAAATCAAACATCGATTGATCAAAAACTTCTTTAAGTTTGTTTTAAACTAACTTAAAGGAATTACTTTACTATATCAGATTTTACCCTAAATTAGGTGCTTAGGGGCCTTCTTGGGAGCCAAAATGCGTATTAAAGTGCCCTCTGTACTGAAAAGTAATGCAGTGTTAGCCTGTGAATGAAGAAACCTGGTTTACCTGCAGCAGCAACCGAAACCTAACATATTGTTCAACTTTTGTTTTGTTTGAAATGAGGAGGACTACATGGAAGTTTTGTTCCAAGATTGTGGCAAGCATTGCAAATATTTTTGTAAATGTTTATTAAATATAAAAATGTAATACAACTTTGAAGAATCTTTTTAATCAAAAAAAGGTTTTCAGAGTTTATGTTTTCTTTCTTTTTTCAAACCGGAATTTTACATATTTTATTTATTCAAATTTCTCTCTTTCAGATTTAGTTTTATGGATTGCATTATTTTAAAATAACATTTTCCATATCACATTCTCTTGACTTCTTGGGGCGGGCTTTTCTCTGGAGTGAGGAGCAGAAATGCATTTCTATTGGCCTGCATGGTTGTTAGCAACATCTTTACTGGTCAGTGCAGATGTTTACAGATGGGCTTGAAGTGAAGAGAATGATCTGTAAAACGCAATTTGAAAAGAATGCGATTAAACTCAATGTGAAAATAAAGAAAATTAGAAATTGACAATAAATAAATGATGTTAAAATAAAGTTAACAGCACAGTTTCTCTCAAAACCCTTTTTGATTAAGAAGTTTTTCATAGATTCATTCCTTTTATTTCTCTTTTTTCCCTTGATTTCCTTTAACAAAACATGTTCTTTTCTTGCACCGTAACAAATGTCACTCTATACAACTAGATCCAAAGAACATGAATGAACATTAATTTGGATCAGCAGGTAGTTTAAAGTCAGACCCAGATGGACCATGATCCCAAACACAGACTACTGGTTTTGCCTTGTTTAAAGCAGACCAGCCTAAAAATTCCAACTCATGCAGTTTGCTTAGCTGACCTGCAAATCTATGAAAACACTGAGCAGGTATTATCTAACACCCTGGGTTTATATTGTCATTAATATGCTTATTTACATATAATGGTCTGGCCTGTTGTCTCATAATCATCCACTTGAGAATCAAGTTATCTGTGTCAGCCTGTTTAATTACGTTCATCATACTTTTCAGCTGTTAATGAAGGAACTCATAACATTCATGCTAAATATTTTAATTCAGCTGCTCCACATTCTTAGTTTGGTTTTTACTATCCCATAAAACACAAACTAATATTTGGACTTAAACACATGCTGTTTTTGGTTACATTGTGGATGCAACAGAGTTCAACTCTAAGCTCTCCTGGAGATTAGATCTGCTTTTAACAACTGGATGGGATGAAAAGATTTGTGTATGTGTGTGTTTTGGGCCTGATGCAGACACGTGTACGGCAACACGATGATGAAGGAACAGCACCACATATACGAGAATGTTGGGGAGCTGAGGGACGCCACGCCCGACCTGATCCTGGCTGTAAAACCCAAAGTTCCTCCGGAGGATGAGCAGGTGAGTCGCAACGCCCGAGGAACATTTTGCCCGTGGTGTCTGATTGTCTCGTATTGCTGAATCCTTCATCCTCATCTCTTTCTTGATTTAGTTCATGGGCTTTGACCTTGAAGAGGACAAGGCTTCAGCGAGTGACTCATCTTTCTCCTCTTGCCGGCTATCGAGTGTAGACCGAGCTGAGAGAAATTCCCGAGCCCTCAGTCTTCATAACTCCATTACCAAGAGTAAGTACTTTTCTTTTTCTCTTAGAAATTCTCTAGTAAAAGCCTGAAAAAAATTGTTGGATACCAATCTCTGAAAATAGATTTAGAACCTTACAAATTTCTAGGTTTTATTTGTTTTTTGGTCAAACTTAAATGTTTAATATCTTCAATCCAATCTGTATATTGCAAATCACTATTGTCTTCATTCAAACAGAAAGCTGTCCAAAGGGAATTGCTTGTATGTGAAATATTAAATGCCCCCTAATTCAATGACCAGTGTTCCCACCTGGAGAACTAACAGTGATTACTGTTGTTGGGAACATCAAAGGATGTTCCCAACAACAGCTAATTGTTTGAAGATTGTTTTATTTCAGCAGTATTGGAGGGTTTTGGAGCACGATCAGTCTGTTCAGGGTGATAGTAGGACAACTCAGTCAAATTTAAGTCCAAACTTCAAACTAGGCCCTTCCACTTCTAAAAAACCTTTGTTAAAAAGGTTCTGGGACATTTAGAGGCGGCGCTGCAGTTATCGTTTGGACCATAGCATAAAATAAAGAGTCTAGAATTTAAAGGAATTCAGGACATTACATCCCAGCCCAGTAGTTGGCGGTAATAAATAGCCTGTACACTTCAGTGATGTATTCACCTATGTCATGTGTAAACACATCCTGAGTTACAACCTTCTGCATGGAAACTCTGCCATACTCATTACTTTTCACCAAACACATGGATAATATTGAACAACAAATATATTACAAAACATAAAAACTCAATTAAAGAGCCAGCATTGATAAATAAAGGTATCAGTAGTCCAAAAGCTGGAATGCAATATGGTTGTGTAATACTGTTTGTTCTAAATTCTTCAAGTTTTCCCCTTACTTGCTCGTACACATACATGTGCACAAAAGAATGTTGAAAAATGTTCAGCTTTTGTCGCTGCCTCACAACCCAAAACCAATCAGTGAGGGTTTCACTGAGTGATTATAAGTTAGAGAGTTTGCTACACCCTGCAGTCGGCAACAACTTTTGATATCAAGGAAAACATTGTTTTAGCAGAGTACGACTTTCCTATAGTTGATCATTTCAGTTAGGTCTAGTGAAATCCTTGCTGCTTTTTCTGTCAGGGACGTTTTAAAAAATCAGTCAGAAAACCCCTCCCATTTATTAACTCTTCAAATATCTTTGAGCACGATTGGCAACAGCTGCAGTCGCGTCTCATGATGTGTTTCAGGACGGCGGCCATGACGGTCATCTGTCACTGTTATTAGGAATGAGTAGAGATGGCTTTGTGACCGTTATCAAGGTGATATGTCAGTGAGTTTTTATTACCTGTTCATGAGGTTCCTTTGATTGCTTCTGTTAGAGATATGTTAAGACTTTTGACAGTTTCTATTAAAATGTTTTTTGAATTGGCAGGTCTGATAGCGATCAGGCATTGTTGCAGCTAGTGAAGCTGAACTCAGCTTTCTAGAAAGGTTTGGTTTACCACTGTGACTTCATGGTTCGAAAATGCAAAGTAGGCTTATTTGAAATCTGCTCTTATCTCCTCATGAAACATGCACAATAGTCCCAGATATTAAAGAAACAAGAAAAGCTAAAAACTAACGAAATCTTTAGGGAAGGAAACCATACTTTTTTTTTTAGTTTGTTTTCCATTAAAGTTGTTAGAATCAATTCAGACAGTTATCTGTGCTGAGAAATATTATGACCCAGATTCTAAGCTCAAAACAAAGTTTTATTTCAAAACAACAGCTGGCACACATGTTAACAGATCATCGCTGCTTGATTTGAGCCCTACATTGCTTTTTCCAGCTTTGTCCTGCATTAAATCCCTTGCTTCATTATCCCCCTGCTGTCCTAGCTGCGCCCTCTTTGTTCCTCCACGCTGCCCACTATTCTGCTAATCTAATATCACCCCTGCTCTGCTGCTCCCTCTCCTCATGGGTGGGAATAAAAGGGGAGACATATGGGTGGTGGGAAGGGTGGGGTTTTACCCCCCCAAATCAAGCAACCCCTCTTACACCATCTGCTCTGCTACTGCTGAAAGAGATTGTTTTAGGCTTATTTACAGGAAGTTAGAAGGACTTAAAGAAACATTTTAAGCTCAATTATAACATTTAAGATGTGCTTGAGTGTTAAAATGTAAAAATTGTAGTATCTTTGATGTACTTCAAAAGTATTTGAAAATGTTTGTATTAATTTCATATGCAACTGTTCATGGTAATTATGGTATTTAGAGTTTTATTTTCCATCTTGTTTTTTGGTTTTCAGTGATTGTTTACATCAAACCTTGTCCTCAAACATCCTATTTAGGATTCTGCCTCTTAATGGTTTTCTAGAAGATAATGTCCAGCATCAGAACAACACTGCCCTCTAGTGGGTATTATTTGTCAGTACAACACAAGAGACAACCCAGATGCATGCAACATCTGCAATCCAATATTTGTCCTATATACCTGTCTGTATGTAGGGGGGTGGGGTGGTAGAGACATAGAACACTGCATATGGTAGATTTTCATTATTATTTTATTATTTTTTGCAGTTCTGTCTGAGACGACAGACTCGACAGATGAGGAGTGGCAGTCAATCTCCGACCTGGCGACAGCCTGTCGCAGCATCCTGGAGGCTTTGTCCAAAGAAGGTAAGGTTAGAAAAAAGACCAATCAGTAGTTATGCCATAAACAGTGAACCTCAGTTCTTAATTTATGATTTGTTTGAAAGGCTAAATTAGTGGGTTGATCATTTTTATTAATTTATCTTTTTCACAACTAAGAAAAAAACCTTTGCTTATTTTGACCTAAAAATGATTAGGAGTTTAAAGCCCTAACCTGATAAATAAGCAATGATTTTCACCGATCCAGGAACATGTTTGAAATTAATTAAATTCTTACTAAACCAAACTGAAAAATATGCTCTAACAATATATATTGGAAATAACAGGACCTTACAATATATGCAGCATCTTGAAAAAAAAGTATTCATACCCTATAAGGTTTCTCCGTACTTCTTCATATCTAAACTTTTAACTTCATTGTATTTTGCTTTAAATTTATCAGGAAAAAATAAAAGTACTGAAGCAGTTAAGTGAGTCGTAACCTTGTATTTTACTTATACAATCCTTCTTAGATTGTCTTTAAGTTTACATTTAATCACATTTAGGAGAAAAAAATAAATATGACCAATTTTCATAGCCGCTTGTCATCCAGGTGGACGACTAAAATCAAACTTTATGAAAGACGTGCTCATTAGCCTGGCTTTGAACAAGTAGCCCAGCTCTGATTTACTGGCATGTTACAACTAAAGCCCAAAACAAACACTTAAACATACAAAAAAGCCGTATTTTCAGGGTGATAACACCTTGTGGATTCTATAATTTTTTTTTACATAGTTTTGCAAATATTTACTACACATATGTAAACTCTAGAAAGAATTGGGACATACATCTGCTTTTAGCTCTCTTGATTCAAACCTTGGTAGAAATACATGATGTTAAAATTACAGCAGAAAAAAACCTGAAAAATATCTCTACCTGCATAAACATGTAGATGTGGTTCTCTTCTTATTGCACTTTAAGAGTAGCTCCAGATCAGTTGAAATGGATGGAGAGAATCTGTGAAAATAAATCTTTAAATCCTGTCATGATTCTCAGCGTGGGCGGTTCTTGGCAGGGACTGTCATCAGGGGCCAATGTCCCCTAAAACTGCTTCCTGTTATAACCCCTCTGAACACATAATACCAAATTAGTTTTGTATGATGGTATTGTTTGGCACAGAAACTGTAGCTGATTGGTCCGCGGGCAATCATCATTTTTAAATCTGCAGGTTTACTTTAACAGTGATTTAAAAATTAAAATCTCGCTCTCGGCTCCAGCTGTGTTGAGTTGGATCACAATCTTCATCTCCTAGATCCCGTTCTGCAAAGTCGTTCTCTTGATATATTAAATGATAAACTATTGCTCGGGTTTTTTTTCTGCTTCTTTTTTTGTTCTGTGTCCTTATGAGAAAACACTTGCTCTTCCCAAAAAAATCATCCCTCATTATCCTGCATGGTGATATGAGGTTGGCTGTCAGACATACAGGTTGTCCAAAGTGTTCAGACTTGGTCTCATCTTATTCTCTTATCATGTTTCCTATTTATTTTATTTGCTTCCTCACTTATAACTGTATTAATTGATTTTCCAATATGAATCAAGTTTTTTCTGAACTTCCTCTGCAGTTATTTCCTTGGTCTTCATCACAATGCTGTTTTCTTTTTCTTTTTTTACTTGTTTTAAAACCATTCCATGCCTTCACAGAATATTTGCATTTATTCTGAGATCAAAGTTGATGGTAATGACCCTAATTTTCCTCATTTCAGACCGCAAAGCCGGGGATTCCTCTCAAGGAGGAACTGATCAGACAGACGGAAAACTGAAGGACTCAAAGGACAGGTGGGCTCCTACAAAATATGCACTTATCTTAGTTGTCTCTTCCTCACAGTTGTTTTAATTTCAAACTCCAACCTGAGTATGTTTAGATGAAGCAATGCTCTTTTTAGTCTCAACACCTCTGCTTAGCTGTTGCTGACTGCCTGTTTTTGACCAAAGACTTATCCGCCTACATTTGCAAGATGGTCCGTTTACATTATCCGGCAGAGGGCAGCATGTCTCATCTTATAAAATAATCCTTATTTTACAACTTTTTCCAGCAACAATCCCCTCTGCAAGAACAGGCACCACAACTGAAAGACACGGAATTTTAAAAACATGCAGAAGCTGTATGAGACACGGCAGGGCTGTAGTTTTTCTCCTGCACTCTGCAGGATGTAGACATTATTTATGAATGTAGTCCTGCCAAAATGCCGCTCAGGATAAGAGCAATCAGTCATACGGGCAATTAATTGAAATGGACCTCCAAAGTGTTGCTGTTTTCATTAGAGGCAAAAGTGTGACTGCACCACCAATCAGACAAATGGAGAAGTTTCCGGTTTGTCAGAGTTGACAGGAAGTTTCTCATCATTCATTAATACTTTTGTTTATTTGTTAGAACTATATCCCTCTGACTGTTTGCGCTTCTTTATTTCCTGCTGCAGCGACTCTCCAGGCCACCTCGAGGAGAAGGTGTCGCAGCTGGAGGCCATGTTGAAGAAGCTGCAAGATGACCTGCAAAAGGTGCTTTGACTTCTATGAATGTTATTCCCTGTGACAGTATTTTGTAGCGCCACTAAAAGAGTCAGCAGGTAGGAGAAAGTATTTCCTTTGCTCTGCTTCTGTCGCTGGAGCAAGAAGATTTCTGTTTGCTGACGCAGCTGTTAGAAATCCTGCTGTCCACCACCTTCAGGTCCCTGCTGACTCCCTGCAGAGATGTATTAAATTATAAAAAAAAAAAAGAAACACTTTAAAAGATGTTTATTTATTTATTATTTTATGTACAGAAACATTCCTGATTTTTTTGTAATTTTTCCCCTTATCCTGCTATTTTACATGTATTTATGAGAACTCCTGCTGTGTTTTTTCAGTACTTTCTTCCCTGCACATTTCCACCAAACATGAGTCTGTGCTGCTCTGTTGATCTTTCTTGTTGATGCCTCAGAAAACTGTATGAAATGAACTCAAAGGCTTCGTTTTGGACGCAAGATCCAGCTGCCTTAAAAAAAAAAAAAAAACAGTTTCAACACAAAGTCCACTTTTCAAAGTTAAATAAAACAAAAAAAATAAAACATGGCCTTACTAAGCAGATGGAGCTGCGCGGTCAGACACGCACAAGTGGCCCTTGTGTTGAAAATTTATTTTGCCAATATTGTCTCTGTGTATGTCTTTGTCTGTATGATGCATGATATTTCTCCCAATTCACTTCTATTTTGAAGTCTTTGATGAGGACTGCAACTATGACTATTTTCACTAGTAAAATAATGAATTTTTTTTTTTTTAATGAACAATCATCCAAATCTTTACTTCTCGATGCTAACTTCACGAATACGCCCCAAAACTCTCTCATCATTAAAAGTGGTTTTAATGTTTAATTTTGACGACTACTGGTTTATTTACAGCCTTGTCTCCAGAAAAGAGAGAAAGCGCGCTGTGTAAAATGTAATGAATGAAAACAAAAAAAAAATTTTTAAGAAGAAGAAATAGATTAAATTCTTTAAAAAATGCATCACTACAAAAAAAGACTGAGTCATCTGTTATTTCTTTAGATATTCAATTAACATTAATTTTTCTATAAGTTTTCAGGCTTTTTGAGTGTTTTTAAAGTTCATTTATTGGTGCTTTACTTTTTTTTCTTGTTTCTTTTTTTTTTTTTTTAATAAGGGATGGTTTTTCACAGTTCAATTAGATGGAAAAATACATCGTCTAAGATCATAAACGCTCCAATATCTCATCTCTAAAGATTTAACAATACCTATCTAAAGACTACAACAGATTTATAAAACATGGCAGAAAAAATTGTTACAATATCTCTCATATTCCATATATGGCACATATTTGCACCACAATTATAGCATTTCTACAACTTTTGCTCAAAAAAAGGCGCAATAACCGACTAACAATAGTCCTTAACTATGCCGACACTTCTGCACTGATAAATATTTAACTGCTGAGACGCTATATCCTTGGAATGGAGAGTGAGACTCACAGCTTCACCTGTTTCTTGGCTTTTTAGGCTTATAATAATCGATTACTAGTGACACGCTTAGAACATTATATTTTCTATTCCAAATCATTAGTAGATTTAAAACTGGGTGTAACCGGGAGGTGACAAAATTATTTAAAAAAACATAACATGTTTTACAAAATCCTTTTTACTTCCTGATAATTAAACCTTTACTTCCTGATAGGATAAGAGGCGGAGTCAATGCAGTCCACTTCTTTGCTGCTCAACCCCCTTATCTTAGTTATTTCCTATTATATCCAAAACCTATTGTATGTGCTGTCAATCAGATTCTGAGTTTAGAAGAAATTAGTTCGATAATAATACATGCAATTGATTTACATTCAGGTGTTTGTTATTTAAATCGCCAAAGTGTGATACAATCAGACGCTACACTTGAGTCATCTGTTGAATAAGTAGCTTAAACAATAATGGTGTCTATACGCTACCTTGGCTATATTGAGGTTTGAGACAAATTGGCAAATCCATCAAATTAGAAATGTTTCCAAAACTTAACTAAAAAGCAAATAACTAATGTAAAAATTAGGCCAATGTTATTAAGCCAAATCTATGAGCATTAACATAGTGGACCGAGTCGGACTGAATCAAACAGCTGATAGCTGAAGCTTCCCATACAGTAAATGGTGTCAATAAACTGAAGGATCAAGCATCTGTCAGATCTTATATTTGGTGTTTGATGCAATTTCTACTGCTGTAAATCATTTTTTTTTTATGTCTGACATTTCTTGTCTTGTCATCTTATTTGTCTATTTACCTCATTTTTAAGGATCAACTGTAAAACATGTTGTTTCGATAACAAGGCTGAGCTGAACATCTGTGAAAAAGCTGCTAAAGTCTAATGAATGATTTTTAAGGACATTCAAAAAGCCTGGCCAACTGTTGCATTAGTTTATTTTAGAATATTATTATCTATTAAGAATGTCTGGCTTCCTGCTAGTCAAATATAAACAAGTGATGAGTTTTGTTTTGTTTTTTTATAACTTGGACACATTTTTGTATGAGTTCATTTTAAACCTGATGCCAGCTGGCTAGCTTAGTGGTGCTGAAATAAATGCAACAAAAAGAATTGTTTAATTTAGTAATAACTCATAGAAATAACTAGTAGGAGTTTAACTTGTTGGTTTTTTTAAATGGTTTCATAACTACATGGACAAATGTGTTAAAGATGGAAGCAACGCGATCATGGGGAAATCAGTTCAAAACCAAGAACATTAAACAAGCAATTAAAAACAGAATGTGTTTGTTTTTATTAAAACCACACAGCTTTTGTATTATATGTATTATATGCATTACTGTAATAATAATCTCAGTGCTTTAGTCAAAGATACATCATAACCCTTTTTTGACAGTTTTCCATGTTACAGCCACACACTTATAATTTTAAGGTGGAACGAATAATGAATAGTTAAAAATAACATGTTTCTAAGTAAAATCTGAAAATGTATCCAAATTGTGTAATAAAACTTAATATAAGACTTGTTAGTAATTTAATCTTAGTATAGCTCCAGTTTATTGGTAAAGGCCTCAGAAGTTTGTTGGATGACATGAGGGAGGAAATAGAAACACAAAGATTTAGGAAAACCCCAGAGAGGTCAGGGATAGAGTCGTGGAGAAGATTAAAATAGATTTAGGTTATAAAACATTCTTGCTCACAGAGCACCGACCAATACGATCCACCTGAGCTGACAGGCTGCTCAAGGACAGCGTTAATCTGAGCGCAGCCTGGAGGAAAATGGCGAAACCAGAGGAGTCATGTCTTCTTTAGATTCAACAGCTGTTATCTGTGCACTCCACCAATATGCTCTCATTGGAAAAGTAAAAAAGAAAAATGTTATTTCTTAATGAAACCCATCAAAAGTCTGGTAAACATCTGTTTAAATGCAACATTTTTGTTTTAAAACACGGTGTTAGCAGTATCATGATGTGGGACAGCTTTACTCTAGAAGGGACAGGGTTTTTAATTGGAAGAGACGTAACATAAAAGCTTTAAAGATTGAAGGGATTCGATTCAAACACATTTCTCTATTGGAATAAAAGGGCAAGAATAAGTGCAGCAGATCATTTGTAAACAGGGGAACAGATAAATTAATTGTAAAAAAAAAAAAAAAAACTTCCTTTACTTTCCACTTAAGACCTCCGTTACAAACCCTTATATTTGTGGTTAACGTGCAGAAGTAAAAGGGATGTAAGTATTTTTCCAGTTTCAAAGGTTTGGCATCAAGTTTAAAATGAAAAGTTCGTATCTCTCCCAGTTTTCCAATATTCACATAATCAATTGTTCTGTTTTTATTTACCTTTTACACAGTCGGCAAGCAAGGTTTGTATGATTACCTTCTCAATTGTAATGATTTTGCTGCTTTTTTTTTTTTTTTTTTTCTCTGTATTGCAGCAACAGAATCAGTTTGAACTTGACTCTGGAAACTTTTGATTGTGCTTATCTGCTATTTTCCCTCCTGTAATCAATATAGACATTTGATGAAGGCAAAATAATACTGAACCTGTTTGACCATGAAAATAATCTTTAGTTGCAGCCCTTCACACATTTTGACTGATAAGGTGCTTGCTCATTTCATCCCCAGCCCTTAAAGAACTGATTTAATAAACAATATGCAACACAAAAAACAGCTAAAGTTTGGTTGTTTTTTACCCAATTAACCCGAATCAAAACAAAACGTCTTCCTGTCAGAGAACTGATCGGATCAGCTGATTGGAAGTTATGGATTGCGTGTTTATTCCCTCTCCCTGCTGTGCGTCTCTGCTCTGACTGTCGCATCTCTTGTTTATGCACGCCCGCGAGCTTCCTTCCTTCCTTCCAGCCATCACTGTACCTGTCGCCCCCTACCCAAACCCCCACCCCACCCCCACTACACACACACCTCTTGTTCCTGCCACAGCAATCTGAGCGACAGCTTCTGTTTTTTGTTGTGTGCCGATGTTTTTCAGGAGAAAGAGGACAAGGCGGTGCTGCAGGCCGAGGTGCAGAGCCTCAGGCAGAACAACCAGCGGCTGCAGGAGGAGTCGCAGAGCACAGTGGCCCGCCTCATCAAAGTCACTGAGCTGCTGTGCAACGTCAACAAACCCTGTTAGGTCCCCTTGCTGCTTGACGATGCAAATCCTCCAGAGCGCCTCCATGCTCAACGCCATCTCTTGATCATGTATTGATAGCTGCAAAAGTTAAAACATGCAGGCAAGCGTGGTCCTGCCTGCTGGAGAAGAAGTATGCAAAAGAGAAAAAAAAAAAAGTAGACTGACTTGCACAGGCTGCTGTAGAGAGCTCCTCTTGGAGTGTGTGCGTGTGTGTATGTTTGCGTGTGTATATGCCCGTGTTCCTTGCTTCAAATACTTGACAAGCTCTGCTAAGTAGCACTTACATAAGAGGTTTTCAATTAAGACAGAGAGACACTGTATAGCATGTTTAGTGGTGTCTAATGGAAAATTAACAAAAGTGTATAAAACATAGTAAGCAGTATCAGCAGTAATATAAGTGAACAGTAGTATTGCTTTGTTCTCTGGCATACATGTAGAGTGTGGTTTCTGTGTGGCACAGATGGGAAGGTTGGCCTGAAATTAAAATAAAAGTAAAAACAACAGTTTTAAGTCTGCAGGCAGCCCTCTACTTTAAAAGATTTAAAGACGCTTACTGACCTGACTGGACTAAGAGCGAGGTCTGTTATGTAACAACATCATCCTCTATCTTCACCTCTCAGTAGTACTGTATGTAAGTAATGTTTTTTTCTTTTTTTTTTTTAAGAAAAGATTAACAAAGGGACTTGGAAAAAAAAGGAAGGTTAAAAAAAAAATCAAACTGCTTGTTCTTCTGGGATTTTCTTTTTTTTATAAAGCAGCATAAAGAGGAAACCCCAAAAAGGTTGCGATACCTCTCCTTGAAGACGCATACTCTGGCAGGAATAAACAGCTTCAGCTTCCTTTCATGACTGCCTGTAGCTGCTAATCTTCTAACCTCACTACTGTAGCAGCCATAACTGTAGAAGGTCTCCTCCTGCTGGCCTGAACGGCAGCTCTTATTTTACAGCTAGGGCTTCACAGGGGGGATGCATTTATGGTATTTAACAATATTTGTTTCTGTTTGATGGATCTGACCAATAGTGGTAATTGCTTTAGAGTGACAGCAGTGGGTCAAAATATTCTTACCACCTTGATTAGAGATGCACCGAAAAAGATGCACCGTGTGGTGATTAAAGCAGTCATAGTTTCATTGATCACCACTTTACAGGTGAACGCTCAATTAAAACCTCAGATATTGAGTCGTTTCCAAGCAGTAAACATACAGATCCATCTAACAACACCATTCGGTATCGAAGTAAATGATGGAAAAAGAGTCACAGTTACGTATTTAAGAATAATTCAAATTAAAAGGAAGCAGTAGAGGAGAGCAATTTGCATTTTGTTTCATCCCCGTTTCATATGTCTGAACTTTTGGTTGTTTTAAAATCTGTTTTGAGTAAAATAATTAACTGTTTGCTAAAGAAGTTCAGTTTCTGTTAGGAATGTTTCTTTAAAAAAAAAATCACCATCAGACAAACAGCAGGAAGCCTGAGATTATCACAGCACAGATTTTTCATTTGTTTTATGATTTTGAGTTTTCAGTCTGTCCAAAATGTGAGAAGCAGGATTTGGAAATGTTTGAAAATTTCTGCTTTCAGGAAAACGATTCTCTAACTACATATGTTATGTTTACCTAATAAGTAAGAATGTGGAACTAGGAATGAGAACCAAAGGTGCTAAAGTTTATTGGGAAACAATGAACATTTATTTCTTCATATTTTCTGCAGCCAGTCCCTTAAAAAATTCTTATTTAAATCACCTTAAAATATTTTACCTGTAACTTAATATTTAGTAATTTTGGTGCGTCTGCCAGTTAATTAGAAAAAATAATTTAACTATACATCTTATATTTTTATTTTAAAGCAATTTTTATATAGCTTTAATAATTCACCAAATTGACAAAAGACAGATTTCTATTGTACTGCCATTAAAACGTCAGTTTTCTTCATCCTAAAGAGTTGAAGAGCTGCGGCTCCTCAGAGAAAAGCACACAGAGGCTGCTTTACTAGCGCTGATCTTCTTTAACATAAGATATTTTAAATGACAAAACAAATGGCTTGATCATTTCAGTAAAATCCTGTTCCATAGTGTTTCAAACAAAAAACAGGACAGTACCACTGTGATATCAGTAATGTTAGCCGTGCTAATGTTAGAGGATTTCTTTCTCACTCACACAGGTAATTCATTATCTAATCAATGCTGAAAGACAAGAACAGAAATACTGTTGTCATATTAATGCCCCCTGTGCTAGATTGCAAATTGCTAATATACTTTGATAAAGTACTAAGTTTGATAAAGCTGAATTTAAAAACCCATTGCACAATAGTTCCTCTCTTCATGCTTTCATTTTCTATCCATGTTTGCTACTTAAATCACTGCATATCTATATGTTTTATTTTTAGAGAAATACAAAAATCTCAAATCCCAAATTTTTAAATCCCTTCTTATTTTAGCTCTAGTTGCTATTGGAATCAGTTGACTCTATTGAAATATAACATACTATGATCAAATTGAACTAATTCAAAGTGACCTGCTTGTGTTTATTCTTTATTTAGTCATGGTACAACCTCTCTACAGCAGATTAGGAGCCGACAACAGAAACCGACTTTGAATCATGGGTTCCCAAAGCGGTGCTAAACATCCTTTTTACGAGTACAAAATGTTCTGCACTATTTCATACTCAAATAGGTCAAATTCTAAGCAACCAATAACCTAAAGGTACTAAATACCAATCCTCCACTCACTGCAGGAAAGCTAAATATAGCCATTAAAGTAAATAAAAAGTTGGATATCAGCCACATTTCTCTGATCGGTGCATCTCTAAGCTAAACCTTTGCTTGTGTTCTTCCATGTTTTCTTGCACTTTTCCATTCATCAGTGTAACACTGGACATGTGAAAATACTGTTTTCCGTTCAAACTGTTAAAGATTAGGATTACGTCTCCTTTATGTGATCTTAACTTCCCGTCGATACTCGCCTTCCCTCAGTGGTGTGTGTTCAGCTCTAATGGAGTCGGTGTGTTTTGAGGATTTCAACAACAAATCCAAAATAAAATGGCTGACCGCAAACTCTCTCACAAAACACACAGAAAGTGTTGCCAAACATTAAGACTGCAGTTTCTTTTTTTTTTACCTTGTACAGACTTCCCCCTGTGATTTAATTTTTTAGTCACTGTGAATAACTGGTACCAGCATAAGAAAAGTGAATTGAGAATCTAAACTTTTCCACGTCGGCGCACTGGGCATGCTCTCCTTTTTCGCGGGACGATTAGTGTCAATCAAAGGCTCCGTCGCTTAAAGGGAGAGCCGTGTACGGGAAAAGACCTGTTTTACTGTGTCTTGCGTATTTATTTAGATTGTAGGAGACTGGTCAAGCATGACAACGTGCCAAGCCACTTCCAAGCCTCCCCTCGTTGTATGTTTCTGTGTATAAAAATGTAATGTATTAATAATGCAAATGTGGACTTTTATTGTAGCTGTTCAAACTGGATTGAAGGTTTAAAAAATGAAAATGTGAACTATGGTGGCGAAGCAAAGTGGACTGAGTTTAAAATGTTGCTTTACTTTTCTAGTAAAATGATTATGATGTAAAATGAAGTGATGATTCCTGAAACATAATGTATAAATGATGATATTCTGAAGTTAAGTTATTTGAAATATTGAAAAATGGTCATCAGGTATGCCTTAATGAATGGATTCCCTCTTTCAGAATGGATGCTCAAACTGGTCATGCTGGTGTAATGTGAACACTCTTGACCTTGTGCCTACCTGAAAATGTAATGTGTGCCAATCCAGTTGAGTTTTTTTTTTCCCTTTGGTGATATTTTTGCAGTTATAGTCATCATTATTTCCTTTGGTTATTTTTTTTAAATCCTTTTTATACTTGGTTGCTCTTGGCGAGTTTGTGTTTTATGTAATATATATATTTTCTCTATTATTTGAATTGGATTTCTTTGGCAGATGAAGATTTCCTACCACGGTGTCTCAACATCTGGTCTTTCATCTGCTGTGTAAGGAAAAGTCAGTGAGTGCCACGTGATCTAAAGATCAAGTAATAATAACAGACTTTTACCATTAATCCCTAAGCTTCACTGAAGGTTTCGACCTACTATTATTTAAATGTGTTTTTTTTTGTTTGGATTCAAAGGCAATGGTGCTGAAAATGATGGATGGTTAAGTTTGCGTGAAAAAAAATGGGTTGAGCTTCCATGAATGAATTATTCTTTAATTATTTAAATGTTTCAATATCGTTTGTCTATTATAGAAAAAAAAAATGAAACTGTGGGGGAGTGAAAGAAGGAATCAAAAATGATGTGGCATTACATGCTCTTTCTTGACCTAAGCTGGAAGTGCGGCAATTTAAAAAATGTGCACATGTAAAGTCCACACAGATATTTGACAAATATCCCCAAAGCAGATTATACTAAGATGTTTGTTTAGCTGAGTTTGAAATTGATGGAGTGATTGTGGAGAATATTTGGCTATTAAAAAGAAAATTCAGTAGGTTTGGAGTTTCTTTGGTTTAATTAAAGAATACATCTATTTACAGATGGTTTGACCTCCAGAGCTTAAGGTATATGTATTGGAATGACATCTTTAGTTTTCATTTGTTCACGCTGTGGCTCTGTTTACATTTGATGAAGCAGAGATGAATTAAAACACAAGTTTAAACAGCCATTCATACTGATTTGATATGTTTCCTTGAGTTTGAACCGGATCCATATAAACTAATCCTGCAAATTAAGATGTGACTTTTTCTGAGTTTAAGGAGGAGCTGGATCAAGTTATCACATTTGGTCTCCAGTGGAAGTAGGTAAAATAGCAATGAAGGTAAAACAGACGTGCCATCAGAGAGAGATAGAGAGCAGCCTTTAAACATCGGAACACAACAAGATGATTGGGGTCAAAGGTCACTGCTAAATCCGACTTCCTGAAAAGTTGATGCAGGAGATCAAAGACAAGAAGTCTGTCTAATCACACACTCAGATCTGGATCTGAGGCTAAACACTAAATAGGATAATGTAAGAATTTCACTTGCATAATTTAGTAAATCATACAAGTGAATGTAAAACTGATCTGAGTAGACATGAATGCATGTCTACTCACTACATATGCAAATCTAGAGTAAAAGTACTGAGGTGTGTCTATTTACACTAAAATTTAAAGCAAAACTGGCATAATAATCTTAACTTTTTTAAACGGATAGAAACACCTACACTTCCAGCTTCTAGCATTAATTATTATAATTATTTTAATGATTTTTCTTTATTATTTGGAGCAAATCTAGGTCACCCTCTCACATTAGTAGCTTTCAAGTAAACCTGATCTATGTGCAGAAAATTGCACCATTTTCCTGTTTTTCCTTTTCTTAGATTCAAGAGTATAGCAAGCTGATATTAGCTTGCTTGTTTTTTAAGCAGTTGGTTCTTAACAGAAATGTTTCTAACTGTATGCTCTTCAAAATGGAGGCCTTATATGCCTTCATTTTTAGAATGGGAAACAAGTCACAGCCTTTGTTCTGCAGGTTGACTGGCATTGTAGAGCAACATGAGGGGGAGGGGCATCGCTGCATTACTTTGGTCCATAGACATTACTATTTTTGATCCTTACCAATATGCATAACTGCTCCGCAATTCTGAATATGTCCAAACCTGCTATAAATGCAGGCAGGTGTCTCACTAAAAGAGGTCAAACTAAAAGTTAAGGTACTGCAAGTTTTTTGGTCTTTGTGCTGTTTTATTAGGACCCAGGCAGAAGTTGTGTTAGGCAGAAAAAAGTATAATAATGAAAGTTCTAACAAATATTAACTGGTTACAGAATTTAGGTAAATACTTCCCAGGAGATATGCACTGGAAGAAATTTACCATACATAATAAAGAACAGAGAAATTAATTTGTGATGGAAAGAACAGCATTGCATATGTGACAAGATCTCAGGTGTAGAACTACTTAGAAGAACTATGCTTTCTACTACTGTAACAAAATATGTCAGAAAATAAAAAAGGTTCTGTCTGGAAAATATGTAGAAAGCGAGATACAAGAACAGAGTACTCTAATTTGCATCTTCTAGTGAGAGAGAGAGAGCACATTTCTCATGTTCAGCTTCCAGCTGTGTTTTGCCATCTTTCCTCAACCTACCCAACAGTTGGATGTTCCAGAAGTCCTGGGAGTGTTGGCCATGTGTGTTTGGGACAAAGTTTTTTTGTTTACATTTTCAGAGGGACTAAAATCCACAGCAAAGTTTCCGTTATCATTCTGGTTGAAACAGTTTCAGATCTCCACTGAGATAAGTCAGAAATGCAGTAGCTTAAAGTAACAGGATACTTTAAAGAAGATCATAATTTGACCTGTAATTGTGTGCAGTGAGATAGTAAGATTGTTTTTCATAACAGATTCCTACTCATAAATGTTGCATTTGCAGCGTGTAGAGCTGCAGCGACGATTCTTCCTTCCAAAGTCCAAAAGTATGCTCAACAGGTGGGTCTCTCCAAATTGACCTCAGCTTTCAGCGCACATGTGGGCATGGTTGTTTGTCTCTGTGTTCCTGTCTGGTTTCTATCTGGACTCATGGATGACTGGAGGTAGGAATAAAGAAAATAATGAATAAAAGGAAAGAACAAAATACCAACAAATGTCCAGCATGCTGTGATGTAAATTTAGAATCCAAACATTTGTAAATCTTTGAATATTTGAGCATATTTTACTCTTTGCAAATCCCCGGTGTGAAAATCTCTCAATCTGGCTGCAGTGCAAAGCAGGATTTAAACACACTCATCTCTCCCTGATCAAATTGTATTATATTCTAAATCTGATTTCTTACTTCTCTGCATAACACGCTAAGATATATATATATATATATATATATATATATATATATATATATATATATATATATATATATTTATCAGTTTAGTGTTTTGGGTTATTTTCAGAGGTCAATAATATCAACCTGAATTATCTTAGGTTTAAAGTGATTTGACAAATCCTTAATCACAGACTTGAACAGAAAAAAAAAAATCGCTTTAGCTTTTAAAAAGCAGAATCTGTTTTTAATCCAGACCGATATTTGATTTTCTGAGAGAAAAACTAATATTGAGATGTTAGGGATTTAAAAGATGAAGATGTATGGAAGGGTCTTCACTTTAACCTGATACACTTAAAACTAATCTGAAACTATGAGACAACTGCAAGATTCCAAAGCCTGAAGGTTTTTAAAGTGTTGCAATTGAGGCTGCCTGCAGGCCAGTAGTGACGCTGAAGGAACCAAACACTGGTAGAGTCAACATGTATGGAGTGAATTTTGTTTCATTATTGTTGCTGGCAAGGAACATGTTGATTGAATAGGGGGAAAAAAAGCAATGCAACTTTGATAAACATATTATTCAAAAAGGTTTTGAGAGTAACCTTGGTGATTCGTCTAATGCATTTTTATCAAGCAGCGCGTAATATAAAGTATTTGATTATACATATATTTTGTTATCGTTTTTTTTTTCTCATTTTATTTTTTCAATGTTTTTTTTTTTGTATTATCAAATTTAATTTTTCAGACAGAGCTCTGAGAACTGCATTTTTTTTCATAGTCAATTCAATCCTGGGGCGGCAGTCATCTGGAAAGAGGACCGAAGCTGCATTTCTATTGGTCTGCATGATTGTTGGCAACATCTTTATTGGTCAATGCGCATGTCAGTATTTGGCTTGAAGTGAAGAGAATGATCTGTAAAACACAATTTGGAAAAAATGCAATTGATTAAAACTCAATCTGAAAAACAGAAATTATTAAAAAAAACACTACAATTTGACAGTAAAACAATTTGTTTGTATTGAGCTATAAGAGGACTAAATGTTTTCTGTAAACTGCAATTGATAAAAGTGAATCTAAAAAAACATATTGAAAAAATAAAGAAAGAATTAATTTGAAAAAACATTAATTTAGAAAAGATAAAATAAATAAAAATCACGAAAAACAGAATAAAATTTACTTAAAATTTAGATGACAGCAAAGTTACTTTTAAGACCTCACTGCAAAAACAATCTAGAAATAAGTCAACATTTCCTAAATTAAGTGTATTTAGCCTTAATTGAGTAAGTAAATAAGGTCATTTTGTCAATAGAATGAGTATTTAATAGGATAATTAGAAAACATGTACTTGAAATAAGGCAATGCAATTGTTTGTTCTTATTCTAAATGTAAATTGTTTTGTTCAATTCAAGAACAAATGCACTTATTTTAAGAAAAAAATGACTTAAGATTTCAATTTTTGATTTAAGAAGTCTTTGAAAATTTAATCTAAATTTTATGATTTTCAAATTTCCCATTTACAAAGCATGGTATTTTCTCGCAACATTAATTGCTCGCAGCTTAATATTAAAGCTCCAGTGTGTAATAACTACTTGGATTTAATGACAGAAATGTAATATATATGAGTATTATACATAAGTTTGTTCCTTATTATCATCTTTGAACAGAAAGTTTCAAGCTTTATGTTTGTGTTGGCTTAGAAATTGCTATTTATAATAACATACAAGCGGTTCTCGCATTTATAAAGTCAGACATCTTTTGTGCTATGGCATCACAGAGCTGACAAACTAGTGACATCAGAGATCGCTATTACTCTCCGATGTGACTACGGAAAGTATATAACAACATTACTTTAACTACATATAGCACTCAGAGCTGTGAAAAAAATATTAATTACGATTATTTATATCACCCAGACCACGTTGGTGGTCTTTCTTGCTCTTTTGGAGAGCTTTAAATCTTGCCTCCTCGGCTCCAGTCATCCCGCTACCACCTTTCCCTCGGCTGGCCCACTTTTTGGCCCCCTTCTTTTGCCCTCGTCCTTGTCTAATAACCCACATGCTGCAGTCAAGACTTGGATTCCGTAAACAGCGAATATATATATATGCTTCCATCCAACACTATCTCTCTATCAAATTAAAGGAGTACAGTTACATAGTCTTTTTAGGTCACTATTCTAAGCGGCTCACTAAAACTTGTGACAGTCTACAAAGTTTGTACTTGTGACAGTGTAATGACTATGAAGTTGAATTCTATTCTAAAACATGAAAACAATGTAAAATAAATTACAGACATATTGACTATCCTAGGCCTATATAAAATCTATAGCTTCCATGGACTGATAAAATACTACGGTATTTATAAAAAATCTATTTAAACAAACATAATTATCGCTTGACAAAATTGGTGACGTTGCAGAAGCCTTTTTGTACCATGACGGCTTCCATATTATTGGAGGGATGGGGGGGATCGGTTCATGTCTTTGCAAACTGACAATTAGATGTCGATGAAACATACATACTGTAGCTTTAAAGCTTAACCTGGGGCATCTGTTAGAAATGAAATCAGGCTTGAAGTTTTTGAAAAACAGTGCTCACAGGGGTGGAGCTAGATGGGGGTCTTGCACGTCTTTATTTCCAAACTGACTGTGTTAGAGAGTAAATGAGCAGATCATAAAGATCACAGCTTTTTGGAAACCCGATCTG